TTTAAACTGAGGTGACAAGTAGATTCCTCTTATGCAAAGGGAGAAATTCTCTAGGAGAGAAGACAACTTTTAGATTTGCCTAGTCTTGTGGGATATATTCTTTTGCTAGGATGATTATAAAATGTTTAAGTTTTTAATGGGAAATATAAGCACAAGTTTCAAAATTTAAAAAAGTTTACAATGATATTGTTTCCTTTCATCCCTGGCCCACAGCTATGACATTGCCACCTCAACAGCAACCAGTTTCTTTTTTTTTTTTCCTTTTTGTCTTTTTTTGTGACCGGCAACAGATCACAACCCTCAGTGTTGCGCCCGTACCGGACCGGGACCGGCAACGGGATCGCAACCCTCGGTGTTGCTCCCGCGCCTTGCTCAGCCAGTGAGCNCAGTGTCGCGCCCGTACCGGACCGGGACCGGCAACGGGATCGCAACCCTCGGTGTTGCTCCCGCGCCTCGCTCAGCCAGTGAGCGGGAACCGGTCTGTATGTGGGATCTGAACCCTCGGCGGGAGCGCCTGCCACACTTCCCAAGCGGCGCACTGTAGCAGTGTGCCACCGGGCCGGCCCAGCAACCAGTTTCTTATATGTCTTTCCAGAGGTGTTTAATGCATTTATTTCTGCATGGACAAACAAATGTCTGCACACGTGCATGGAACACACACATCATGTATGATTTGATTTCTAAAGACAGTACGGACTCCATTTTAAGTGGAAGCCACAGAGTTCCGTACCGTCTTGTCATTTCTGGCTTCTGTAACACAGTGAAGCACAAAGGCTAGGACACACACTTGGCGCTGGCCTGCCCCACCTGGCCTGGCCCCAACGCCCTCAGTCAGCTGGGCAGCATCTCTTGCCCCAGCCAGGAGGTAACCTATTTGGCTGCCTATTTCCAATTTAGACCAGATGCGAAGAAAGTAGGGCCGAGTATTTGTCTTTTCTAAATCAAATGTGTCTTTTCAAATGAGAGAAAAATGTGCCATGGAAGAGTTTCCAAATTGAGGTCTTTTTTGATATATTCAAGCAAGGTAGCAAAGTGGTGAAGGTGGCAGACATGTGGGATACAGGTGGTAAAAAGAAAAACATTGCAACAAAACCTGCACACACAAAGGAACAGATATACACTGAAAAGAAAAGATTAGCAAGAATACGAACATTTTCCATCCCCATGATTGTGAGGAGTGTAGAAATGCTTATTTGTCATCTCTTTAAAATTCCCTTGTCTGTTGGATCCCATCCATTTCACTTTACTCTCTCTGCCGCTGGCCGATCCTGTGCTTGGTGGGCCAGCCTGGATTGGCATGTCATTCCAATGTGGCCACCTGGGACTGGCCACGGGGTCTTCCCCATCCCTTGCCCCGCAGTGCACCATGGACATGCCTCTGATCTGCAGCCAACTAAATATTTCTGGACCGCCTGCTGTGTGTGGCAAGCCCATCAGATAAAGGGGGGTTCTTGCTCTGGCTGGGTTCGTGTTTTGTGAAGAGGTTGGAGTTGCAGACCTGCTGTAGATTGGATGCCCCCCACCCCCAACCTCACTGAGGCTTAATCCCCACTGGAACTGTTGACGGTGGGAAATCCCATTACGGTAATTGAAAGGTTGGGCCTTGAAGAGGTGATTAGATTGTGGGACCCTGCTGTAGTGAGTGGGTTAAAAATGGTGGTCAGGGGCGTGGGTCCAAGCACTTTCAAAGAAGATACACGAGAAGTTAGGCTGTCTCTACGCCACCATTTTCACAGTGTGATACTCTGCCATCACTGTTGCCACCACCAAGGCCTTCATCAGCTGTGTTTCCTGGACTTTGGACTTCCCAGACTCAGAAACTGTAAGCAATAAATTTTGTTTTATTTATAAATTACCCAGTTCCAGGTATTTTGTTATAAGCAAGAAATGAACTAATACAAGACCCTCGTTGTCTTTTAACAGGGGAATAGCCAGACTCATAAACAAGGTAGAAAGAAGTTATATGAATGTTCAAGGAGTGTGCTGTAAAAATCCCCTAGCTCTCTTAGAGCTGGGAACTTGGGCTCAATGGGGCAGGGAAAGGGGCTCAGAGGCAAAACTTCCAGCTTGGGCAGAGTTTCTCAGAATCACTGATTGCAATTCACCATTATGACTGTCGTCTGAGATTGCTCTTTGTTCCCCTTTGGCTTCTCTGTTTACAGATTCTTGATTTTTCGTATTTACATTCAAGGTTTGGACCCCCAAAGGTGTAAAAAACATGTTGGGGGCTGCAGTGCAGGGGAGAAAGGGAGAAAAAAGGTGCTGAACTCAAGGGCAATTTTTAAAAAAAAGGAAAAGCTTTCGAGTTGGGTAGGGCAGCCAATTCCTCTGCTGATAAACTGGGTGAGAAGACAGAGACCACAAACGTTAAGAAAAGCCTGCACGAGGAGGCTAGTCCTGCTACACCTGACTGTGAGACCTCAAGAGAGACTCTAGGGCTTTGGGGTCTTAGTCTTCCAATCTGAGAAGTGGGAGTTTATCTCTCAAGATGCCTTTCAGCAAGTGGAACCTGCTCCCAACTGTTTATAATCTGGGAGGGGTGTAACACAGATAACATACCAAGTTTCTTTAACTGTCTCTAAAGTAAGCAGGAAATCTTGAGCATTTTCAATACAAAACTCTTAAAATCGAGGTTCTTCTTTTTCACGCGTTAGCTTGCGTTCTTAGCTGGGTAACTGGCTGGTGTGGAGGTAAACAACAGCCCTTAGAAAGCAAGCAGCACTGTCAGAGCAGGCGTTTTAAAAACGCTCCATGGCTCCTTGGTGAGGCATCAGGCGTGGCTCCAGAGCAGCTCCTTTTCGTTCTCTGGTCAAGGGAGGGAACTAAGCGTAGTAACACCGCCAGAGAGAAGCAGCATAGTGTTTGCATCACCCTCGCCACTCAGATACAGTGTACACTTCAGTCAATAAGAACTGCATAAACAGATCATATGAAAAGCTTCCTCAAGAAGAGTGCAATGAGCACAACCCCCTAAATGAGCAATGGCACTTTACACTCAGATTACTAAAAACGCGAATAGATTCAACCATTCAGACTTACTTTTACTGTGCTAGTCACAAGCATCCATGAGGAAATAAGCATCGTCATGTTCCTTCAGAACCAGTGTCTGAAAGGCCTTGCTCCCTGGGAACACAATCGGCTGCAGTGGAAGAGGGACTGGTAGAAGATTAGGTTGGTTTCCTGCAAGATGTATCGAAATTCAAAGAAAAAAGAAAAGATATGCTAAAACCATTTTTTATATTTAAACACACCCACTCCTACACAGCCCACAAAATACTTCTAAGTACCCTTCTGCCAAAGCATCTCAGGTCTATCAACTTCATTTTTTATTCTGACAGTATTTCCAAGAGGCAGCGAGAAGCAGGGAATAGCTACACCAAGAAGCTGCCTTGCAGGTCATCTGTGTTGAAGCTAATCTTAATAAGCTTACAGTGTGTGACTTAGCACAGTATATTATATAGAACTATTTACAGAATCATTCTCAACATTCTTGAGGTGGTAATGATAGCATTTATATATAAAGCATAGTTTTACAAAGTATTTTCATACATATCTACTGGCTCTGTGTGAAGATAACAACAGCGGCTTGCTCAAGCTGACCCAGTCAGTAAATGGAGGAAATCAGCTCTTACAAGTGCAAAGTCTATGATCTGCTTTCAACAAGCCATTACTTCGGTGTGAAAGCAACCAGAGCCTAGCTTCTGGGAGATTCTGGCACTTTCCAAGCACTTAATAAATATTTGTAAATGAATGATATATTGATAGAAGGAAGGAAGGAATCCAGCACTTACCACTGGTATTTTTAAAAAGGAGTCCTAGAGATTCTTCCCTAAATTTGGGGTTCATGGAATAGTATGAATTTCACTGAAATAGACTTTTCATCAATTCTTTCTAAGAAGCAACAGTGACGTTACAGCATTGCTGGGACTAATGCTGTCTATGTACTCACGATTTGGCTGCTTATTTTCAAGTTCGTTAAGGAACGAGTTACTGCAGTACTAGGAATAATAGTGCCACCTAGTGACACTTGTAGTTATTGTCTCTAAAATTGCATACAACTGTTATAAAAAAGATTCACTTGAGAGTGCAAAGAGGGCAATCTGTGATCTTCACCATTTTTCTACCTAAGAAACCTTTTCTCAAAATTTCAGTATGTGTTAAACCTTCACATACTTATTCAGATTTCCCAGATGATGTTTTTATGGGGCCTTTCCACATCAGATTTTTCAGTTTATATGTTTATATTCCAAAGACTGTTTCTTATATTTTAAAACATATCAGTTCTGAGATGCAACATTGATATAACTACTTTTCATGACAGACAATATTAAATATACAAATTGATTGCAAGATGTCCTGATCAGACTCCAGTATTAATTGTTTAACTAGGAAATTATAGGTTTCGTGTGAAGCACCCTATCTCGGTCAGAAAGCTTAGAAGCTAGACACTGTCTAATTACATAAAGTTGAGCAAGTCAAGTAACTTCAGTAATTCAGTTTTCTCACCTGTAAAATGGGTTAATAATGCCTGCCTTATCCACTTCCCAGAGATCTGAGGATCAAATGCAGTAACGAATACTTTTAAAACTGCTCTACAATGGTTAAGAAACTAGTGGTGTTATTTCCAATCATCATTTTCCTGGGAGGGCAGGTTCTGGCGCTAGACTGCCTAGGCTCCAATTATGGCTTCACTCCCCTCTAGCTGTGCAACCTTGGGCGGTTATTTCTCTGCTCCTCAGTGTTTCGTCTGTAGAAGAGAGATAACCTACCAAAAACAGGGCAGCAGCGTAACATGCTTAGTACATGGCAAAAGATCAGTACATTTTTAACCATATGATTACATACACACACACACACACACACCCACAGACACACACACACCCACAGACACACCCCCCACCCCCACACACACACACAACGAGACAGCTGTGGGATCAATACTCTACTCGGAAGATCATCCCTAGGTGGTTCCCAAAAAGAGAAAGATATTAAACAGAGAATTTTCATTATCATTACTAGTATTTATTGGACACTAAAGAGGCACAATGTCTTGGCCTAGGTGCCATACAGTACTGTATTTTTCAAAGATCTTTATGGATAACACAGATGAAAGAGAATGGAATATGTCAGGTAAACATGAGGCATTCAAGAAACAGCTAAGTTCTTTTTGTTTTTAATCTTGAAAACTTTTTCCTCCCAATTTTTCAAATCTGGCTTTAAGCAGAGCAATGAGACAAATGCAGTTACAACCATGCCTGGGATGGTGACACAGCAGGGCTGGACGGTAGGCATTTCATAGCCATCTCCCGTGACCCAGGTCCACGCTGCCCTCGTCTTGTCTGGTCAGCAGTGACTGGTCTTGCTTCCACACTCCTGCCTCTCCATTCCATACACAGCAACTCTGAGTTTTTGAAAACATAAGTCACATTTCTTCCCTGCCTGAAGCCCTGGGATTTCACACTTAGACTCCTTAGTAAATACCATCCTCATGTTGATACCGTCCTCCTGCTCCCCCAATGCCCCTGCCATGCATGCCTTGGAGGAGCTGTCCTGAGCAGACAGCTTCACCCTGATCTTCACATGGGAACCCCTCTTGTCATTCAGATCTCAGCTGAACATCTTTGAGGGGCCTTCCCTGACCACCTTCTGCACGGGTGTTCGGTTCTCCAAATAGTATCTGTCTGATCTGTGTCTCTTGCTAGACAATGTGAGTCCATGAGGACAGCATCCACGTCTGTCCTGCCCCCCAGTGGTCCTCAACATTTAGACTGTACCTGGCACAAAATAGGTGATTGATAAGTAGTGGTTTAATGATGATCAAGATTTCCCCACTATACATTTTTTCCCATTCCTTAAATATACAGCAATTCTCCATCTGGTTCTGTGATACTTCATGGTGACCTTAGCTTCTAAGTGGAAAAGGGAACCAGATGTAGATTCTTTGTACTTGTTGGGCCTTGCACAGGAGCTTCAGTTTTTCTAAAACCTTCAGCTCTATCAATAAAAAGTAGGACTAATACTTCATGGGCCATGAGGATTAGGTAATAAATGTGAAAGTTTGTTATGAACTGCAAAACACTGCACTAGACCACAAGAGTTGAACTGCTCCCTCATTTCAGAGATGATAAAAAGCCCAAATTACTACAGCAAGTAAACAGATTAGCCTACTGCACCAAGCTGTAAAGCATGAATGTTAAACAATAGATAAATGCACCGATTTTAAGCAGATAAAATAGAAATACAGCACTTTTAGGAGGACAGATATTGAATAATTTGGGGAAATTTTTTTAATAAATTTTTTTCCTTTTTTAGATTTTCCTCTTACTCATATTGCTTGGCCTCAAGGATTTAAAATGAGCTCATAGCAGCCTTGTCTATGTCTTTCAGTCCTTTCCTAGTCTATACTACATGAACTGCCATCAAATATACAATAGCATTGCTTTTAATCATCTTTTTTTTCCACCTGGGATAGAATTTTCTGAAATTGTGTTCAAATAATCAATTACCCCAATATTAGTTTAAATTTCAGTAATGACTACAGAATTGTAACATAATGGAAATGTCTTGACTCAGGCATTTGGGGCTTTCATAGAGACAGCACTGTGGTTCCAGTACTATAAGCTCTGAAGTTATATGCCCTAGGTTGGAATTGCAACTCTCACTAATAGTGACTGATCAATTACTCAACTACTCTGAACTCAGTCTCCCCACTTGAAATACAGGGCTAATAAAAAATCTATCTCATAAGGTTGTTGGAGAATTCAATGAAAGTTGTATATGTGCAATGTTCCACACACAGTAAATAACTATTCTTTTCTTCAGAATTTTGCCTCAACTTCTTAAAATCTTAGATCAATAAAATGCTTAATGTTTTCCCAGATACATTCTGTATTTATCATTTAATAGTTTAAACATGACTTACCCAAAGCCTGAAAAAAACAAAGGCATAACTAGTTTACTGCATAACTATGTTAAAGTGTACTTAAAAGTTCTGAAGAACACTGTCCCATATATGTGAAAAATCAGTTTCCAAAAATGTATTATGTGAAGCTGAAAACCTGAAAAAAGGACTAATCGTAACTACCACTCATTTGTTTAACTTGCCATTATATTCTATTTGAGTCAGCATAATCTTTATTTCAAATAGTACTTTTATTATATAAAAATGTAAAAATCCAGCTGAATCAGAAATACGGGTATATTTTCCTGGGCTTTCACATTTGTTGATTTTATTCGCAATCTCTTTTCAATACAATTCATAACCTCATCTCTATTTCCAGTCTGATTATACAAGTGCTAAGTGGCAGGAAGGTCTAGAATAAAAACATCAAAAAAAAAAAAAAAAAAGGTAAAGCTGTGAAACTAAACTGCATGCAACAGGTTTTGTGAAGGTGGGAAGTATCTGGGAAATAAAATAGAGTAAGAAAACATAATTGGAAGGTTTTAGCTGAAGTCCTTTCAGTCATCCTTGTCTTTTGCTCCATGTTTAAGGATGCGGGTGAACTCAATGTAATTGAAATTCCCCTTTTTGTCAATAGGTGCTTCTCTGTACAGCTCATCCACTTCCTCATCTGTAAACCGATCTCCCATGGTTGTCAGCAGCTCTCTCAGGTAATCCTCCTGGATGGTGCCTGGAAGGCATTAGGAAGAAGGGAGTCATGAATGTTCTGACACTTCAATGGTTCATTTCTAAATCGAGTCAATCTTACAAAATACTTTCTATATGAACGAACTAAGTTGGTAAACTAAGGCAATATGTAACTATATCATTGTTTTCCAATTACTGTTAGAGCTTTATTAATATTAGGTTAAATCATGTTAAAAGCTCAGAAATAGGTTATATGCTTACAAAATTAGTCTTAAGCAAGTATTTTCTAGGAGTAAATAAAAAAACCAAAACGCTTCTATTTCAGAGATATAAAAAACAAGCAAACAAAAAGGCAGCTGCGCAAGACAAAAGGCAGTGCTGCCAGGACCAAATATGCGTGAAGGATGCGTGGTGCTGACAGGTGGAGGTAGGGAAGCAGGACGGAGGGTGTGCGGGAGCAGTGAGCAGGTCATGTGTGCAGTGAAGCAGGTTAATGCAGAAGGAAAGGGGAAATAAAGCTGAAGAAAGGGAGAAAAACAGAGGAGGAAGAAGAGGGAACAACTAGCCTTCACACACTTAAAAAAAAGGTTTCTCCATAGGTTCACTAAGATGAAAAAAACTAAATAAGATTTTAACAATTGTTCATGTTAGTTAATTATACTTCTTAGTGAGACTGAATATCTCTTGAAGAGTAGTTTTCATTGTCTGAATAATTCTCCCTTTGGTTTTCAGGAAGCTCATAATCAAACTCAAAGATTAATAATACAAACTGTGTAGCTTTATGTCCTGGTCATTCCTGGTCATACTGTCCTTTTATAAATATTAGAAACTATTATTCATTTCTAAAAAATTTATATTTTAGTAATTAAAAAAAAATTTTCCTAAAAACTGCTTCACACTCTCTGGAATGGGGCAAAAGCACTCACCAGTTGCTTCTTCATCAAAGCAAGCGAAAGCATTTCTGATGACATCTTCGGGATCTGTGCCATTCAACTTCTCACCAAACATGGTGAGAAACATGGTGAAATTGATGGGCCCCGGGGCCTCATTCATCATGGCATCCAGGTATGCGTCAGTGGGATTCTTCCCTATAAGAATTCACATTTTAACATTTTAGGACAAAGAACTAATTTCGATAAATAATTATTTTGCTATTGTTATACTCCTCAACATACTTTTAATTTACATCATCACTTGAAACTAATTTTTCAATTAATTTTCATTAACAATATTTTTTAAAAGATAATTTTTAACAACATAAAAAATGGTTGAAATATTATTATAAAAATGCATTCTGGGATTAGGTTGAATGTTGTTCATTCATTAAGACTTTATGTCAACTTTCTCATCACTATTTTTCATTAAAAACAATAAAAACCTGAAACTGAACTAGGCAATGCCATATTACTACATCTTGAATGTTGATAACGTTAAAGGTCCATCAGGGGAGTCATTTCAATATCAGTTAGTCAAAAAATCGAAATATTCATATTTCCAACTGTGATACAGTTGCCCTTGAACTAGTATGCTTCAAAAAATGTATTTATAAATTGGCCAATTAAGTTAAAACTATTAGGTGGGTTTAGAATTGAGAGTTTATTTTGAACAATGTTAGGTACTATTAGGTTGTCAGAAATCCCCAAGTGCTGTTTACACATGTTGCTGAGCTTTAGTTTTGCTTAGTATTGTTTGCATTGGGAAATCTTAATCTCTGACAACACTTCTCTTTTTAGTACAGTGGTGAGGGAACGCCCCTGACACTTCCCTAGGAGTTGGGAGAAATCCCCCTGGAATGGCTAGACACAGTGGAATATCTGCAAGGCTTCATGATGTGGGAAAGCAGCACAGAATGAAGGGTCTGGAATACTGGGTTTGAATCCCAGTTCTCCCACTGGCTGTGTGAACTGGTGGGAGGTGTCAGAAGTGGGACTCAAACCCAGTATTCTAAACACTTCAGTCAGTGCCACTTCTGTCTAGGGTTTATTTTTTTTTAACCTATAAAATGGACTGGTTGAAGTTGGTATCTCAAAGGTCCCTTCTAACATTAAGTTTGTATGATTCTACATGAAAAGAACACTTATTAGTCAGATATTTCTATCTAAGGAAGCATCTCAAAATTATACTCAACTAAGTGCTAATGATAGTCAAATCTAGAATTATAATTCAATGATAAATTTTAATCCTGGGAATTTGGGTGAAATTTAAATACCATGTTGGCATCTATTTTACTTCATTTACAATCCTACCTCATTATACCTACTGTTAAATGGTGAAAAAAACCAATGTCATTCTGAGCCCCACTTACCATGTTGACTTCTGCTTAACCTCATTCTTTTGTTTCACTGGCCAGTTATGCCTTATCGTTAGGACACATGTAAAGGGAACATAGGTTTCAGGGAGTGAGTGACTAATTATAGCAGGTGGTGTCAGTGGTCTGAGCACTAAAATCACAAGACCCCTCATCTCACTGATCACAAGACACCTGGTAAATCATGTTATTGCCTTATTTTTCTTAAGATGTTTCCTTGACGTTATTCTTAGTAACAGGCACTTTGCTATGTAAACATCGTCTAACCTCAGAGAGTCAGAGCTCTCACCTACTGGCATCTGATTCTTCACTGTGTCCAGCTTTCCCGTCTATAAGTCACCCAATTCATAAATATCTGTGATTACCAAATGGACCTGCTTCTCCCTTCTTCAGTCTCCAAGTACCTTCTCAATTTGGAGGGCATTATACTTTAACCCCCTCCTCACACATCTACTCAACATACTAATAATAAAAAAAAAACTAAACCCAAATTAAACTCAAGATTCAGTGAATAAGTAAAAGTAGCTTAAAAAAAAATCTACTTTTCTACCTTCAGATTTAACCTAATCTCTAGTAGCAATTTTTCTCGGGGGGTGGGGGGGGGGGAGGAACTACTACCCAAAGCAGTCAAGAAAACTCTAGGGTATGAAAAAGACATAGGGATTTAAAATGAATTGATTTAGGCTAAGCATCTATGGACCCATTCAAGGTATCCAATATGATTTGCTGATTTGAAAGGTAAATAAAAAGTCAGCCTCTTACTCTATACCACTGATTCATTCAACAAATATTTATTGAGCATCTACTATAAGCAGAGTATGGACTTTAGCATTCAATCTTTGGAGCAGAGCTAAGTCACTCAACTTTCCAAAGTGGACTTCTTCATTAGTGACATGCCCCAAAGAGTACACTCAGTTAGCTATTCTCAATGTGAAAACCCTACAAGTCAACAAATTAGTTCAATATTTTGATTCTACTCTCATTCTGGAGAAAGGAAATGTTGCAAAATGTTAACAATTGGTGAAAATAGGTAAAGGACATGTGGGTGTTTACTATACTGTTCTTTCAACTTTTTTATAGGCTTGAATTTTTTTAAATTTATTTTTAATTGTACATATCTGTGGGGTAGTGTTGTTTCAATACACACATTTAGAGTAGATAGCATATCCATCACCTAAACATTTATCTTTTCTTTGTGATTATGTTCAAGATCCTCTTTTCTAGTTATTTAGAAATTCACATACAATATTATTAGCTACAGGCACTCTAGGGCACCAGAACTTATTCTTCCTATCTAACTATAATTTTGTATCTGTTAATCCACCTCTTCCCTTTCTCCACACTCTCCCTTCCTTTTCCACAGGCTTGAAATTTTTCAAAATAATACGTCAGGGGAAAAAAATATATAGAGGAACAAAGCTTTAATCATTTTGTAGACATTAAGAGAAATAAAACAACAACCGCCTCTCTTGCTTTGCCCTCTGGCTCCATGAGTTGCCCTTGTTGGCTCGTCAGCCAAGCAGTAGAAGAACCCAGAGTGCAGGGCCTAACTACGGGCCATCCATGACCTGCTCGTCCCCCACTCCACCACTCCCACTCCCCCCCTGATTCTTTGGACTATCAGAGACTCGACTCATCTGCTTGCTTTACTCCTAACTGTAATATCACTCTTCACTCTGGGCAGAACACATAGGACCTTCCCTCCCTTCCTTTTCAAAATCAAAACAAACAACAATAAAATCATATAAGAATAGATTAACACCCATATACCCAAAATAACAGATGACTGTTTAAGTATTTTTTAAATCTTGTATCTTTATATTTTCTTTAGTTATAAAAAAAATTATACATGGTATTGTGAAAGTCCCCTTTCCTGTGTTCTCTTTTCCCGTAGCACTGCCCTTCCTCCCCAGGAAAATCATTACCACTTGTACCTGTCACTTCATGTTTACAACCTGTCCTCAATCTTTATTAACTATGCTATATCATTAGCTATACACGTTAATTGAAATTCTGATACTTGCTTCCCAGCCATCCCCTGGCTTTCCACCTACAGCTGTAAAGTATTAGCTAACAGAAATGTGGGCCCACGTGGCCACAGTACCTACCAGGTCCCCACCCCTGTGGGCTTATCTCCTATGTCTGGCCAAGCCCCAGCATAGCACCTCCCAGACCCAGAATCTCTCAAAAGGCCTTTTGACACAAGGAGAAGAATATTTGCACATCACACAAAAAAAGATCCAGAAAGAGGTGAATTATTATTTTGGGGAAAAGGCATATAAACAACATAAAAGTCTACCTAGAGAAGCAAGCATATCATGCAAATCTTCCTTGTCGATGAAGCCATCTCTGTTCTGATCAATCATGTTGAAGGCCTCTTTGAACTCCTGAATCTGTGACTGGTCAAACATGGCAAACACGTTGGATGTTGCGCGCTGAGGGCGCTTCTTGGTGGTCTTGGTCTTTGCTTTTTTGCTCGACATGGTGGCTGTTTAATTCTGCAGTTAAAAAGAAGAAAACATAAAACAAAAAAGAATGCATAAAACATAAAGCAAAAAGAGAAAACAAAACACCTAAAGTTAGTGAGAAAAATATCTTAATATAGAATTATTTCAATTGTGTAGGAATAAGTACACATCTAAACTTTACTTTTACTGTGACAATTAAATGGCTGGGAAAAAAGCACATTTTTGAAACAGAAGAGAATTTATTGTCGTACTTTTCCCCCACATTTCATGGGACCAATTTTTAAACGGGAATTCATTTAAGATATGTAACAATGGCTGGCATTTACTGAGTACTTACTATGTGCCAAGCCCTATAATGAAGACATGGGGCTCCCCCAAGAGAAAGGCTCCAACATTGACCTCTTTCTCTTACAAGGATTGTCCCATTTCATCCTCACAGTGACCCTATGCAGTAGGTATTCTTATTATTTCCATTTTACTATCAATATAACATAACTTCTCTGAGCCTCAGTTTACTGTACATCAGTAAAACAACTGGTAAATATAGGTAAAACATGATATCTACTTTAAAGCAAGGTGAGAACTGAATGAGAGAACGTGCATAAAGAGACTAGTATAGTCAGCATATGGTACATTTTCAAAAGCCCCTCATTTTTAAAAAATATCATCAAAACCTACTCTTTCATCTTGTATCCCTTCTAGCTGTACCTACATTTCCCCTTTTCCTTGAAAAATCTTTTAGAATAACAGTCTAATATTATCTCCATTTTTGCACCTTCTCAATCACTCCTCGATTCTCTGTAATATGGCTTTGGTGGTAGCCTCCAACACTCTACTGAAAGCCTTCAATAGTTTAAACCTCAAATGGAATAGACACTTTCCATTTTTTTAATCTGCTGTTTTAAATCATGTACATAAATAAATAAAACACAAAAATACTGTCAGCTTTGGAGTTAGGAAGTCCTGAGTCAGAATCTCAGCGCCACCATTACTAGCTACATATAAACTTCAAAAACCCACAGACACTAGAATAACTTTCTGATCCAATGTCTCATTCAATCTTCACGATCGCAGTGTGAGATAGGTACTACCTAAGTTTAAAAAAAAAAAGATCAATGGCCCCGTTGTAATAAAGAATTTAAGGTTGCCCAAAGAAAGGTCTGGACTTTCCCCATGGCTCCTGGGATGTGATCTCTAAGTCTCTGGACGTCCTGCCCGACACCTGCAGTCTTGGGTCACATCAGATAGTGTAAAAAAGTGATTTATGGTGGTATATTTCGGTCACCCAGGATTAGCCTGAATTTTAGAGGGGCTGGAGGCTGAGGTCAGCCAGGTGGGCAGTTGACTACCTGTATGATAGAGCCCCAATAAAATGCCAGACATCAAGGATTGGGTAAACTGCCCTGGTTGGCAATACTCTGTGCATATGGCACACATCGTTGCTGCAAGGAGTTAACACTGTCCCTGAATTCACTGGGACAGACAAGTGGAACTCTGCCCCATGTGGATCTTCCCTTGACAGATTTTAATCTGTACTTTTCATTTAATAAACCCTATTTGGAAGTATAACAGCTTTCAGTGAGTTCTGTAGCAAATTACTGAACCTGAGGGTGGTTTTAGGGGCACTCCAACTTGCAACTGATGTCAGAGGTGAGAGTGGTCCTGGGAAATGTTTCCTAACTCTGCACCCCCACAGTGTGACAGCCGATGACTAGCCGGGTCATTGGCTGAGCAACAGGATTTTAGACCTTGGTCTTCAGGAATCCTGGTCTTGGGACTTTTTATACATACATGGTCTACTACTTCAATCTAGAGAAACAGCCACAGGGTGTTTTGAAGGCCGGCTTAGTGGTGCAGTTTTGAAATACACCAGCTTTAGTGTTCTTACTCTAACATTCCAGCTCCTTCCCCTCCCCACATACTTGCCTGATTAAATGTTCATTTTCTTCTTCTTCCTGTAATTTAGCTTGTTATTTGACCTTAGTTATATTGAATTTAATTACATAATCAGAGAACAGGATGTGGTCCACAAGTGAGGCACTTGACTATGTTTTAATTATTCTTCACATAACAAAACTATTAGATTAGGGTTCTTCCTCATGCTAAAAATTCTATGACTCTATTTCTTCAAGATATAATAGGTAAGTCAGTAAGTTTGAAGGCAAAAATTAGTTTTCTCTTAGTATCAGCAAGTCATTGATGTAATAGAGTCATTTAGAAAAACTTCCCAAAGAGTAAATCTTTATTTTAAAAAAATGATCGGTAAGTTTTATCATGCTAACTTTATGGTTCCCCCAAATATACTTTATTTAAACATTTCTGAAGCTTAGTCTTTGTTCTCCAAGAAGCTGATACCAAGATGGGATTAAACATGGAAGGATTTCGTTAGAGGAGATGCCTGTGAGAAAGAACAGGGAGGTAGCCTGAGAAGGCTAAAGGAGCCATCAGATGGTCCGCAAGCCTGACCCCCAAGTGAAGGAAACAGGGAGGGAAGATTGATGGAAGAGAACTAAGAGCAAGTCACTAACTGGCCCTAATCAAAAATGTTACAGAGCAGGTATTGGCTCAGTGTAATAACGTTTCTTTAAAAAAAAAAGTTTATTTTTTCCCTCACACTTCATTTAAAAACAGTGGCACATCTGAATATGTATATGGTACCTATAAAAACTACACACACACACACACACACACACACACACTAAAATATCAGCTGAAAAGTGAGGCAAAGTTGTATCAAAACAATCAATGTGAAGGGAACTCTGGCCCAAAAGAACTACCATCCCCGTCTCCTTACCTTCTGAGATAAGCATCTTGGCCTTCCCCTCTTTCTCACTTCCACTACTTCTCAACCCACCACAATCGCCCTTTCTCTTCTCTACTGCGGCTGCTTTCAGATTGCCAAATCCAGTCTAAATCTTGAACCACTCTACTGTATTTGACCCTATTTTATCCCTCTTTTCTTTGGAGACTCAGCAGTTCTTGGCCTGGTGCTCAGTAATTGTAGAAATGAATTGTCGTCCCAAGAGGAAAGAGGCCTTGAAGACCTTACACTCCAATGAGGGAGAATGCTAACACTACATCGCAAAGATTGGTATATGTAAAATGCTCTATGCGACTTACTGTACCTGAGTTCTCCCATGTCGGTGATTGGTCTTCCTTCATTTTCTTCACAGATTTTTTTTCCACCCACTTAAATATTCACGGTTCCCAGTGTTCTGGCAGTACATGGCTTAAAGTTCTTTTCACTCTGCTTTCCATGGATGATCTCATCAACTCTCACTGTTCCGACCACACCTATGACTCCCAAGTCTCCAGGCTTCACCTTTCTCTTGCACTCTGGGCTCAAATATCCAATTGCCTGTGAAAGACACTCATTTGGATATCCCGCACCCATGGGAAACAGAATTCTCAAACATGTTGGAAGACGAAATCTTTGTCTTCCCCCTCCTAAATTCTCCTATCTTTCTGTTTTCTCTCAGTCTACCCACTCATCAGCACCTGCCCCCACATCAAGCCAGAAACCTGGGAGTCATCTTCCAAAATCCCTCTCCCTGATGCATCAAGCCCTGCCTCTTAAATTTTATTTCTCAGATTTGCTCATCTTCCTTACTCCTCTGCCACCACCCTAAACTGAACCCTCATCGTCTCTTAGGCAGGATATTTCTATGGTCTCCTAACTAGTCTCCGTGCCTCTTGATTCCCTCAAAACTACCTTCATATTCTAGCCAGAGGTGTCCAAAACATGAATATGTACTAACCATTCCACTTTCCATCTTTGGCTCTCTAGCTTCTAAAGGATACAAATCAAGTTCTTAAGCATGACACATAAGGTCTCTTCCTCTCCCTGCTCTAGAATGATCTTTCCAGCCTCATCTCTGGCCAATCTCTACTTCGTACTTTTCCTTCAGCAACACCAAACTGCTTGTATGTCCCCAAAGCACCATGCAGTTTCTTACTCTGTGCATCTTTATTCTTGCTATTTTTCCAGCACAAAATGCCCTGGCCCACTTCTGTCTTAGGAACAGAGGGTGAATTAAGGTCTACCCAAGTGATAGCTACTACCATTTATACTGAGTGACTCTTGTGCTATGCACATTATGTGAATTAAATGAAACATGCCCCTTCACAAATGAAGAAACTGAAGATCAAAGATATTAAATAACTTTCCCAAGGTCACCTTGTGGCAGGGTTAGAATTCAAACCCCCTTTGTAATAGGTTACTTCTATCTATATGTTTTCTACTTTGTACCAAATGTTCTTCTACTTATTCTAACACAAAAGTTTAAAAACTTCCAATGCTATCAATATAATCCAACATTGATTTGTGAGTAGCTACTCTCTTCTAAATTCAAATCCTAGGATTTGAATTTTCAAGTTGAGTTTTCAAATAAATTTGAACTACATGGCAGAAGCCAATATGCAGAACAGAACTGCACAGTGAGTGTAAACGGCACTCCTTGCCACTGTGCAATGTAGCAGCCCTGGCTGGGTTTAATCAAGTGGCAATATTTTCTAGCAGTCATGGTTTTAGTTTGAAACCTTTACCTAGGACTGTCAAATCAATATTTAACCTGTTAAGGGTTAAAAAATCAACAACAACCCAACCCTACCCTTAAACTAGTTATAAACAGAAAATATCTATATAGAACATAGCACACAATGTAAGGAATAACCACCAAAAGTAGTAATAACACTTCTTGTTTCCTCTTCAAAATTTTTATCTTATTCTTGTTTTTCTGTTGTTTTTGTTTTTGCAGCTGGCCAGTACCTTGGTGTTATAAGGCTGCACTCTAACCACCTGAGCTAACTGGCCAGCCCTCTTTTTATCATATTCTTGTTGTTTCTAACATAAAGTGAACGAAAGAATATGTGTAGTGTTCATGGAGGTTACATCAAAGGTAGGGATTTAGGAACGCTGGCATTACAGGTGGCTGTGGTGTCAACATATTTAGTTGATAATCTGAATGTTTGCAAAGTCACCTGTAGTACTGATATGCAAATCAAAACTTGGACACTATAATCATTAATAA